ATTATTTTATTCGGAAACTAAACTAATAATTATTATGTAAAGAAAGGAAAAATTAGAAACAAAACACAATCTGAACTCTCAAGTTACTTTTTCGTGCATCTATATTTTAACAAAAAAACCACGTGTACATAAAAATTTCTTACAGAAGTCTTCCAAATGCTGCGTTGGAGGCATTTGATTGGATCTTTTTTTTTATTTTTTTTTATCATAAACAAATGAAAAATCGTCAAGAGTATATCTGTAAAAAAAATATATGAAGTAAAATCTATACACCTAGCATTGTTCATATTTTAATACCAAATGAATACTGATTCATTCACATAATATGTTTCAGAATTCAAAAATTTATGAAAAAATATAAAATTGTTTTAGTAAGAGACTACAAAGATTCAAATGATTTTTTATTTATACAAAAAATGAGCCCAAGAATTGAATTTTCATTCTAAAAATTACCTTGAATATTGGATGGTCTGATAGCGCCCGATGTGTTATCATCCGACGTACGATCATTTCACATACTTCAAAAATTAAAATTTTATGAAAGCAGAAATTAAACATGGCTGCTCTTACATGTGTAGAAGTATAATGTGGGACCAAGAATTGCTCAAGAACGGTATTTTGTGGTGAGTCATGTTATGTGTACAAAGATAGATTACAAAAATAGTTTACAAAATGTGATGTGGCATCTGTCGATCAATGATTTAAAAAACACTTTTTGAAATCAACATCATAGATTTTGCCACATTATTTTGTAAATCTACTTATGTACAAGTAGATTAATCATTTTGTGGTTAATGGAAGGAAAATAGCTGTCTTCAGTGCCCTTGGTTGCCGAGGCCAAGGTCTATGACGGGGAGGATTAAAAAAATTAAGTCGAACTAATATATATAAAAAATATATTTATTTCACATAAAAATTATTTTATGTATAAAAATTTTTTGCACATCAAAAATTGAAGTGTGCTGGACCTCGCATGGGCTCCCCCTAAATCCACTGTTGGGTCTATCCTCCCTCTCGGGGACTTCTTGATTAGTGTGACAGATTTGATGACACCGGAGGGTAGTCGGAGACATGAGATGATCACATAGCTATTCGATCAAAATTTAATCCTATTATAAAATTAAATGGACATTGGGTTGCTCTAATAATAGACCGCCGTCTGGACATAAATCCGCACTCCCACTTAGAATGGTCCCGGTTTAAGTCTTTTCATTTATGAAGTGCATATATACCTGAACGTACTTTGTTTTGTCGTGTTGAAATGGGTTGTATTGTAGCATTGTTATCACAAGACACTGTTGCAGTCCTTTTGCCTCCAATCTTAGCTCTTTAAGAAGGTTCTTAATCCATGAAACTTCACAAATCCCTAGAGCCAGTATCTAAAACCTAGCCTTCAACGCTTGATCGTGCTACAACTTGCTATTTTTCGCTCCTCCAAGTTAGCATATTACCTCCAGAATGTTGGAAATTTACTTAATCATGCACAGCGGAAATAAAACAATTTTTCAATTCCCACCAAGGATCTGCATTGTGTTTAAATAGACACTGGGATGAGAATTATACCTTTAATGAATTTTGCAAAACCCTTTGCTGATTCACGAACTCCAATGATCACGATTTGCAATCCAAACTGTCCA